CCCCCATTTCACTTGCATTGTTTCTTCCAGCAAGTTTAGCACAAATTAAATGTTTTGACATTGTGATAGTTTTAGGATAACATTTCAATGTACTAATGAGAGAAGAGTTATTTACTGCTTTTGGCTACAGCCTTTCAGACAATAGTGTGACAAAATGTTTATGGAGACAAAAAAGTTGTCTGTTAGTACAATTATTTTAATACATTTGGTGAAACAACTGCATGGAACCAAGCAGAGAAAAAGTCAGACAAAAAGTCAGACTGTTCACCAATTATGTATGTCTTCAAATTTAGATGAAGCATTATCTAGGTTAGCAGTAGGCAAAATTGTTCGGTTTTTATTTGTAATCACAGCCCAGTTTGTAGCAACTAGGTACTTGCATGGCCAAACTGTCATCTCGAGAAATCTGTCAGAAATAGCAGAATGATCAAAGGCTGAGCCAATGAGCATGAAGTTGAAATTCTCCATGTCAAGTTGTCACCTGGGTCTCAAGAAAGTTAGGGTATGTGCAGAAACACTGAGGAAGAACTGGCTTTGTGCACCTGCTTTTGGATGCAGGGCTTTCTGTGCTACAAATGACTAAAAAGCACTTAAATCACTGAATTAACTGAAAATATTTTAAAGATTTTTTTTTTTTTAATAAAACTTATTCTTACTGGACGCATTGAAATGGAAACATGACCTTTTAAAAAAGGGCAGGTGTAAAGTTAGTGGCTTAATGATACGCATTCAAGTGCAAAATTCAGTCTTGGAATGAAATTACTTCATGTGTAAATTAATTCATCATCTGCTGTTTGCTCTTAGTACGCTTTCGAACATCAAGTATCTTTGATGCAGCAGTTGATCCAATCCAGCTGAAAAATGTCACCTTTGAACATGTAAAAGGGGTAAGTTCAAAAGTAAAGTGTGCGTGAGTTCTTGCTGAACTAATCATTGTGAGCCTGAAGAATGTCTTACTCTGTTCAAGAAATTTCTTTGTATGAACTGAAGCCTCATATATATATATACACACACACCCCACTCCAAGATCAAGGAGGGTTTTAACCACTTGTGTTCTATTTTATATCTTTGTGGCGTTTAATACCTTGCAAAAGGTACACTCTGGACTTGTTGAATCACATTTTTAAAGGCTAGAATAGCAGAAGGCAGGCCATAAGTACCCATGTTAATCTGGTTTTTGCAGAAAATGACAAATACAAGGAGATGGTAATGCCATTTGATCATTTTTCTCTTAGTACTGTCTCTTTTGGATATCCGATATTGGGACAGGAGATCGAGAGATTTCCACAATCCAGAAGTGGGCACGTCACTGCTGATGGGATATCTTTATTTTTTATATTCAGCTGTTCTTTGGCTCTCGGTGGCAAAATGAGGACCTCCCTCTCTCCTTCTCCTTGGACAAACAGATAGAATTAATCTCTTCTTAAGTAACTAGACTAATATCTTGATGTAGAATTTTTGATTCTGTATTTGTCTTGTTGGTTAGGTCTGGTCTTGAACTGTTTGGTTATTCCTTCAGTATTATTAACTTTTGTGTTTACTGATTATTCCTGTGAACAGTTCTAAGAAATAGGTTGAGTTAAACTCATGGACTCCTGGTATCCACACAAATTGTGTAGTACACTTTTATCTTCTCTTTCTGTTGTGTATTTTTGATCAATACACTTAGACTTGTCTAAGTCTCCAATACAAAACTCACAAAAAAGATGCAGTATTTTATAAATGCTTAGTTATATTTTGTGGCATGTTTTTAAACGTGTAGGTTGAAGAAGCTAAACAGGAATTGCAAGAAGTTGTGGAATTCCTGAAAAACCCACATAAATTTACTGTACTAGGAGGTAAACTTCCAAAAGGTAAGAATCGTTGCTCAGCAAAAGTGAAAATCACGTGTAGCCATGTTCTATACTCAATGAATTACTTACAACCTAGCTTCTGAATATTTTTTTCCTTTAGTTAGGGAATCTAAAAAGTATGTAACCAAAATAGGCGTAAATACTACAGTTGTATTTAGTTTTTATTTGGGAAAAATAGTGAAATAATGTTAGACGTAGGCTGTGGATTTCCTTGTTTGTTTAAGATATTTGAGGAATAAATCAATCTTCAAAGAGGGTTGCGAAAGCTTCTTTATTAAACGATACCCTTAAATGAGGTACTTGGGGATTGGAGGTGTGGAGCTTAATGTAGTTATGTTGCATGCTTCCTGTCATACCTTCAGTTCCCCATATGTAAAAATTGGTCATTACTGCCTACCCACACAGAGAATTTGAGGTGTCCGAGGTATTTGCATAGAAGAAGCAAAGATGCCTGGATACACCTACATTTGGTAGAAATTCAGTAACAACATTAGGGGTGATAAGTTATGACAGTGCAAAGCAGTGGGCTGTAGATTCCAGGCAAAAAGCCTTTCAAAAATCAAACCTGTGTTTATCATTGTTAGCAGCCTTCTTTACAGGGTTAAGAATCGGTATTTCGTTGCAGTCCCAAGTGAGCCTTTTAGAGATGACATACTGAACTACAAAAACTCTACTTTGTCACTGAACATAACATAGTATTAAGAAAATATTTACTAATAAAGTTATGCATAATTGGTGTTAATGCCTCGTTGAGTGGAGCTTTATGTAGCCCAGAGATTTTTAGGTCTGTATTTTTTCCCCTCCTTTAACTGTCCCTATAAGGCCTATAAGGATTTTTTTTTTCTAAGTTACTAGCTTCCTGTCACCGAAATTTTTAATTCTGTTGTACCTTTTCTCATCTGAGAAAGATACGTAACGTAAGTTTAGTCTTGAAAACTTACCCAAGATAATGCAAAAATGTCCAAAAAAGAACCTGTATTATGCAAATGAATATGTTGGGGTTAGACAAAAGTTACTGTGCCTTCTTCAGTTATTAAACTACTATACAGTAGTCCTTTATCTTGAAAGGCAGGGATTTTATGTAACTGAACTGTTAAAAGGCCTTTACTTCTTCTGTGTGGCTTTCAGCACCGTTAGTGCTTGCTAACTGCTTTAGACAGTTCAGAAACCAATGTTTTCATTTAAAAGAGTGGTTAAGCTTGGTCATAGTAGAAGGCCAAGTGAATTTGAAATATGTAAACCTGATAAGTCTATTTCCTGTTAGTGCTCTACACTGTTAAGTCAATTACTTGGAATTATTTAATTTAAAAAAAAAAAGTTCCACTTTCAGAAACGGCTAGGAAAATGTTAGTCTGAAGAAGACACTATTAGGGATTCAGCTGCTAAACTCAGCAGTAACTTTGTAAAATACTTCAGGCTTCTGTTTTTATTTGATCATCTTACAAGTCTTTGTTGTTGTTTCAGTATGGATCAGAGTGTATCTAGATCTGTTATAGGAAGCTTCTTCAGACTGTGAATAGTGAGCAGTATCTGAAATGGGATGTTAACTGCTTTTTGAAGCCAAGTGTAAATTATTTCTTCTAATGTATGGAAGAAACAGTACCTGTATAATAAGACTGTGTGGGTTTGGTGGTTTTGTTGTTGTTTGGGGTTTTTTGTTTGTCTTTTTAGGTATTCTGTTAGTTGGACCACCTGGTACTGGTAAAACTCTTCTCGCGCGGGCTGTAGCTGGTGAAGCTGATGTTCCATTTTATTATGCATCTGGATCCGAGTTTGATGAGATGTTTGTTGGTGTAGGAGCTAGTCGCATCCGAAGCCTATTCAGTAAGTTAAATATTTGTGGTTTTGAAATCTTTTAACATGTTGAGTTTAAGTATTCAGTCTTGTTTGCAGGCTTTGATTAGGTACAGTTCTGGTTACTGGAAAATAGTAGTGTATGAGGCTAACAAATAAAACTTTAATTTTGTAGGTAAATCTCAGAATTTTGTGAGTATCAATTAACGGTAGAATCTTGTTAGTTGTCAGATGAAATGGTAGCAAAAATTATAACTGGTGTTACAACACTCCCAGAGAGAATGGAAGTAATTTGATTAGTTTATAGGACATTACGTTTCTAAATGGAGTATTTTAAATTGTAATTTACTTACTGTCATACGTAAATTATTGTAAATAAATTTGAATTAAAATGTAAACTTAAGATAAAATATAGTGTTAACCTTCTCAATTACTTCCCTCATTTTTATATTGTCTTTTTTCTTTCTCTGAATTAGAGCTTTACGGGATCACAGTGTAGCACTAAGGTGGGATTTCCTTTCTCACGCCCATCAAGAGGCCCAGAATAAAGGGCATTATAATGAAACTTTTAAAATTAATGTTTAGGTTAATAACTTTCACAGAAGAGGCTTTCTATTTTAAGTATGCAAATAAATATTGTTGAGGAGGAGGAAATCCACTTCTCTCTTAAATGGAAGATTGATAACATCAGTCAAATACAACATAGAAAGTAGTTTGCATTTGTAGAAGAAATGTGACTTGCTTCATGTGGAAGGGATACAAAATGTAATGTGTTGTACCTTAAAATGCGCATTTCTTTCTGTTGACTACAGAAGTTAGATGACTGACTTGTACATTAATATCAATGTTACAGATAATGTCTACCTGGGTGCATGAGTTGCATCCTGGTATGCATGTACCAGTTTATTATTGCATTTTTATTTTATGTTTTTAATACCTGTAAACTTGAGGGTGAGGTCTTCACTGTTAAATAACAAACAAGTTCTCTAAAAATAAGTTAGCATTTAGACCCATCACATTTCATATTATTTTTATTTAACAGGTCAATGTTCTCTACCCAAGCCTATGAAATAAACTATTGTAGGGAGTTGATAGGAAGTACAATGAATTTCTTAATCTATTTTACTAGTAATTTCTTGTAGCATGATAAGAATAAGCTGATGTGGAGATGAAGAACCTTGCTTCTCTTTGTATCGCTTAATTTCAAAAATACATTTCATTTTTTTTAGGCTAAAGTCAAGACAGTTCTGTTGATGTCTAATAGAATTCTTTATAATCCAAGAGTAATAGAAGTAGTAGAATCCTAAATTACATGATACACTGTCTGTTCTTTTGTGTGGTTGAAGTGTCCTTCTGCTATGTTTCTTTTGCCAGGGGAAGCAAAAGCAAATGCACCATGCGTTATATTTATTGATGAGCTGGACTCTGTTGGTGGGAAGAGAATTGAATCTCCAATGCATCCCTATTCAAGACAGACGATTAATCAACTTCTTGCTGAAATGGATGGGTAAATATGTGGATTCTGAGGGCACAGAAGGTGCTTGACTGACTGGTATTTTGAATATTTGGGTGAATTTTTCTTCCTTGACAGCTTTGATGTTTTTTGTAATTTTTTTGTAACGCTTTTAAGGATATAAATTTAAGATGCTCTTATGACCACTTTCTAATACTGCCAACAGTAGAACTACTGGCCTTACTGTAAAGAATATGGAAGCTTCTGAGTTTTGTCGTAGCACAATAGCTGCAATTAGTTTAAATAATCTCTCCATTTTTTAGACTGACTATATATCTAAAGGAAGAAGTTCAACCTTCAGATCAGGGCACGTTCTTAACCAGTAGCTGGGTTAAACGTCGTCATTCTTGGATCACATGTTGTGGTTTGACAGTGTATTTTTGACTGGCCAGTTGAGGTCATCCAAAATAAGAAATAGAAGCAGTTATTGACAAAAAAGGTGTAAATTCTGTCTCCAAAACAACCCCAACATTCTCACCCTCTTTTTCCCATACAGGTTTAAACCTAATGAAGGTGTTGTTATTATTGGTGCAACAAACTTCCCTGAAGCATTAGATAAGTGAGTATAATGTATTGATCATTTCTACAGAGCATGTATTAAAAACAAAACAAACCAACCCTCCACAAAAACAGCTAAGTTGCTTGTGATAATCTTCAAGTATTACGGTGTTATAGCTGGGGTTTCCCTCCTAAAAAGGATGTGTATTGACCAGGTTTTGGCATTTAAAAGGTTGTTGGGTTAAATATGGAGAAATGAGTAACATGCTCCTAAGCATCTAACATTTGTGGAAGTTTTTCTACTTAAATTGACTAGCTGCATTCCTTGTTTGCAGTGCAAAATTTTCAAATGCAAAAAACTCTTTAAAATGGGTTGGTAATAAACATTTGTCATCTGTCTTTTTACAGGTAAGAAAAATGTATTCTTTGCATCTGCGCATCGGACACAGTCTATGTAGATCTCTTTAGAAATATCAAATGGATTTTTGTTCCTTATATACGTTAGTAACAGTTTACTGCAGTGTTTCTAAGTCAATGTATTAAACTGTCTTTTCCCTTAGTGCTTTAATACGTCCTGGTCGCTTTGATATGCAAGTTACAGTTCCCAAGCCTGATGTAAGAGGTCGTACAGAAATTCTGAAGTGGTACCTTAATAAAATAAAGTATGATCCATGTAAGTAAACACGTTACTGTAATATCTTTTTATGTAACAGTTTTTATACTGGATCAGCCCACTCATGAATTAGTCATTTATTCCATCAGCAATTGTGGCTTTACCATGTGTCTCAGTAAAGAACACAAAAATTGTCTAGTATGTAATGTTACAACAGTTTTCTGAGGCAGTTTCTTTCTAGTCCCAAACAGTTCATAGTGTCTTAAGAATTAGGTTTCATTTCTTCTAAAGCTTAAAATTTTTTGTTTAATGCATTATTTTTAATAGAACATGATTCTTGCTTATAATTTGATAATTTCTTGATATTTCTTCATGATACAAGGTTTTTCAGGAGCAATATGGACCCTAACGACAAGTTTGTTTTGGTTTTCCCCACAGCTGTTGATCCAGAAATAATTGCACGAGGCACGGTAGGATTTTCTGGAGCAGAGCTTGAGAATCTTGTAAATCAAGCTGCCTTAAAGGCAGCTGTTGATGGAAAAGATATGGTAACCATGAAAGAACTAGAATTCTCCAAGGACAAAATTCTAATGGGTAGGATTTTACACAAAAGACATACATATGTGTTAGAGTATACAGGGGTTTTCATGTGCAATTAAGACTTTTACAGAGAAAGAAGGTTTTGTGCTGCTGGGTTTTTTGGGGGGTTTGGTGTTTTTTGTTGTTTGGATTTTTTTTTTTTTTTTAAATGAGTAAGTCTTCTGTTAGTTTATTCTGAATAGAACCTTTTGAAACCAGAGAGTAGTATGTAAAATCTAGTATGGAATACATTCTTTAAGACTTGATACTTTTTTTTAATCAAAAATGCTGCTTATTGTACTTGAGCCTAGAGGAAGACACAGGCTTGATTTCTTACCCTTCCTCTACTCATTGCTAAAGGAAAGGAGAGAATAAATGACCAGAAACCTGGAACTTCTGTTTAAGTAGCTTGTCATGTGATAACACAAAACTTAAACATCTGAGACATATACGCTAAAAATCTGGTCTGTTCGTATTTCAGAGAAGAAACGGGATTTTCTCAGATACTCAGACTGCATTTTAAATGTTGCTTTAAAAGCAACTTGTGTGTAGAGTATATTGAGGTCCATTTTAGACATTAAAATCCTACTCATAAACATTTTGCACTTAATGAGTGTTACTTAATTTTGCTTGTATGCAGTTCCTCAGCTACTTTGTGCTCTGTTGGAGTATATGTAATGTGTGGATTGTGGTGGTCAGCTGTACAAAAAAGTTTGTTTAATGTTCCTCTGTTTAAGGACCTGAACGTAGAAGTGTAGAAATTGATGAGAAAAACAAAACCATCACCGCTTACCATGAATCTGGACATGCTATCATTGCATATTATACTAAGGATGCAATGCCGATCAACAAGGCTACAATCATGACACGAGGAACAACACTTGGACATGTGAGTATTTCTAAAATTTTATGTTGGTTTAGTGTTATTGAGGAATTTGCCAGCAATGCTATTTGTTGTAATTATGTTAATGCATATTGTAGTATGTTGAAATACTCGGTTATGAGCAGTCTCCAGGAAAACTCACTGGTTGTCTTTTCTGTGTGATGGAAAGCTTTCTTCCTTCATTTTGAAAAAAAATAGCATATGCTAGTGTAACAGTTCACATATACAAGGAAAGAAATGTAAGTATGTTTGATTCTGCTGCAGTTAAAATAGCACCCAACAGCAAACCGCTGAAGAATGTCTAAAGGACTGGAAAGTAGAAGCACTGCTCAGCTGTAGTTTGAACACAAACATCCTTTATGAAGTTGTTCTTTGCCCTATGTGACTTTTTCTAAACCTGATTGGTTAGCTACCTTGTTTGTAGCATAGATACCCGTAAGTTTTTCTATTCTGCCTTTAGCTGCCAAGCATTTGAACAAAAAAAAAATATTTGTTTCTGTTGAACTTCATCCAAGTTAGTGTCTTCAGTTAAAGAAAATCATTGGCCTGAATCCTCTGGGCAAGTTGATTTGTGGTCAGTACAAGTGTAGG